TTTCCATTGGATGCTACAAGTCTGCCGTCACAAGAAGTTCCAAAAAATGTCCCACTTGAGTTACGCAAACATTTGCACTTAATTAAATACCATTTATAGTCTGCTGGTATATCTTTTTAATTTAGTTAACTAAGCCTTGACATAAATACTCGTTTGTATGCTTTCACTCGACATAAGTAAGAACCTCCTTCTAACATTACTATGTGATCCAAAGACAAAAATACGTATTTGTGTCATAGAAATGTCAGTACACAAATGCTCAGTTCTACATAAAAAACTACACTGAACTAGTCTGGCTTTCACAACACAAATTATACCATTACAAAAAAAAAATTGTTGGAAAGTGCCTACAGACGTCAAATACTCAAACATACTAAGTGCAACAAACAGCACTATTGCTAACATCATGTCAGGCTAACCTAACCAAGTTTCAAGAAGCTCAAGTAAATGAAGACTGCATACTCCTTTGGCAGCCTCTCTGGTACTGTACTAGCCAGTGACCAGTTTGAACCTCCTCAGTCTCAACTTGTGGTGACTGACTCTTGTTTTACCATCTGATACTATGGAGAATGGTGCCTCTGTCTTTGCAACTTCCCTTCAACAGATTCAGACCACTACTGGATTAATGGCCAAGTCTCCTTTCTGTCAAACTAAAACAAACCCTTCTGAATAAATCGTTCATTCTAGTCTTCTAGATAGGCTTCTAGTTCTTTGTTGGATGATCTCTAGTTTCCCTAACATTTTTTCTTCCTTCTAAATCAAGGAGCCAACTACCAAACGTAGTTTTGAAGACAGAAATCCTAAGCAGAGTCAAGAAAGATGACCTTTGGGCTAAGTATTTCTCAAATCTATCAAGACTTATCCTAAAATTTTACATTATTTAAGGACTTAAGTTTAACTTTCAATAGAAGGCTATTTTTCAATAAAACAATCAGGCTATTTTTTTTAATAGGCAACTTTTTTTGTTTTTTGCAATAGGTCAGCATTTGCAATGTGCTATATAATAAGCTCAAAGTTTATTAGCAAACATCAACTACAAACAAACAATTTGCTGTACATAAAAACACCATGACAAAATAAGGTTTTTTTTTTTGTTTTACAATGCAAAATGAAATATATATCAAATGCACAAAAAAAATTTTGGCAACATGTGTGTGCGTGTATTTAGCAATACACTCATGCACAATCCTTGCAGGTAGAACTTATTATTTTGCAATATTACCTAAAAATAGTTTTAGCATACACACAAGTGCAGGTGGGCCTTCTCAAAGCATTTCTCTATTTCAAATAACACTATACAATGCTCAGAGAAGAGAGTTGGAGAGTTAGTATAGCTAATTTTAAAAGCCCTCCATACTACTAAAGTATGAGAGCTCTCCATACTACTAAAAGCAAACACTTGATAGTTGTGTCATCCTTCTGAAGTTTCATTTAATGGTGTTCTTGAACTCATCCATATAACACCAACCTATCACTCTTAATCCATTCTTACTAGCACTAAACTGCAGAGCAAGAACCTTACCTCACGCTCTACTAACACAGGCTACAGATCCCTCTTGCCAAAACATCCCTCAATATCATACGCATCTTTGAGACACAGGTAAGAGAAGAATAGTGAATGGGATTCAGATCCCAGTCCTGAAGATCAGCCACCCAGACTGCCTCCCCACAAAGTCACAGATAAGCTAGATTTGCCCTATGAACCTCTTCGTATTCTTTAATTCCTTACATCTGCACTGCCATGCTTTTCTTCTCAGTAGAGGAAAGGTAACAGGGAAACAAGCAGAATTAGTCAGAAGATCAAAAGATGCCCTTTAAATGTGTGACTCAAACGTAATATAAAAAACAACAAAAAGAGTATTCTGGAGTTTTGTTCCAGATTTTCCCTCTTGTCAAAAGCAGTTCCACTGTACAAATTCTCTAATCAAAGATACATCGGATAAGGTCTTGCTTCCCTGCTTTCCCCCTTCACATGAGGAAAGACAGTTCGAATGATTAACAGAACAATTCAGTGGTTCATCAACAGGTTTTGAGATGGCCTTAGGGAGACAAGCACACTGCTAAAACCCCAATATATGGATAAATGCTTTTGGACAAAAGGGAATAAGTGAAAACCACTATTTTCAGAGGCCTTAAATAATCTTCAGGTACTAGATAGCGTACTTTACACTATTTGTTTACAGTAACTTCAGCAAAAAACAGGACCTCACCACGGACGAAGTAGTTCCAGTGCTTCGGAGAACTTATTGTTTAGAAATAAGTTCAGTGCCATTGAACATTCTTCCAGAGCACACTTGAGATCCATCTTGGATGCCCTGAAAAAGATTCTTAGTTTACTCGAACTGTACATATAAACACAAAACGAAAACATAGCTTTTCGTTATATAACATTGAAGGTCTTTTATAGCAATTTTATTGTTTTCAGAATCTACCTTTTCAAAAACAGTTTATATGCTTAACACTTTATCCATGCTACACAAGTGTGCCCCCTTTACTTATTTAAGTGATGCTTATGGCTTAGCTCTTCTTTTCTTACTAGACCAATTCTCAAAACTTATCACTGTGCCCAAGCTCTCAATTCTCCCCATCAATACAAACACTGTTTAGACTCTGTATTCATATCTGAATCTCAAAGAGGTGACAAAATATTTTCATCCAAAAAAGTATTAAACAGATGCTCCCTCTGCAAACAGCTATGCTAAAAATAGTCCTGTCAGAAGTCTGTAGCTATGCCAAAAGCCTTTGTAGTTCCTAATTCACTACAAGTAAAATCACTTGCACTTGCAAGTGGAAGTCATCTTAACAAAACTGCTTCTTTGGCCAGTTTTGCCTGAAAGACTCAGGAGCATTCACAAATTGCTCCATGGGCAGACCTAGGGACAAACTGGACAATCATGGTACTGATAATAGCTAGAAGCTACACAGCCATCAATATGCACAGCTGGAGCTGGAAAAGATAATCTCTCTACAGCTTTAAAACAGGTTTAAACTTGATAATGGGCTTTATCCAAGTAAGGTTAAGCAGTGGTAAGCAACAGATCTTGTCAATGAGATAAATATTTAAGAACTAACCAGAAGAGAACAACTCAGAAGGAGGAATTTAAGAAGAGTGTGATAGTTTTCACCCTAGGCCTTCCTGGAGACCAGCTTGTAACCAGGAAGGAACTAGGAAGGTGACCCAGGAAGTATTCCATGCTATTCCTTTACGTAACCTGGGGTATAAATAAGGCACAGATAAGAGAGCTCGCTCTCTTCCTTTCCAGCAAGGTTCGAGAATGGTGGGTCCCTGTCTCGGTCTTGCTTATCTGGAGCTGAGGCCTACAGTGACTGCTGTTGTCTGCCATGTACGAGAGGGAGAGCGCTGGGCCGCGTCCAGCCATCCTGCTTCTCTCAAGGGAAGTGGTGAGATTTTGCCAGTTCTTTATTTTGCTGGCTACCAGATTTTTAGATTGTGCATACCTGTTTTGCTTCTGCCCCTTTTCATCCTTTTTTTGTCCTTTTTTCCCTTTTCCCTTCCCCTCTTCCCTTTTAGGAAGCTATTTGGGGTTTCTGGGGTTTAAGGTATATAGTATTCTCACTGTATATATCTGTTTGATATGTAAAATATATATTATTGCTATAGTTTTGGCTATTTGGTTTTTCTTTTTTTTTTCTCCCCTCTTTGGGAAACAGGCCCTGTTGTTGAGTTTCAGAGACTTGGTGGGAAGCCAGCTCGAAACTTGCACAAAGAGACACAACAGAGGAGTGCAGCTGCTCTTAATCTAACTGTAACACACACACACACAAAACAAACAAAGAAAAACGTGCACACAATATGACTGGACAGGCGGGTTTTTTTACTCTCCAAAGAACAGTGTTAAGAAATTTAATAAAAATATTTATAACAACTAAAAGTTTTAGAAAACACTCAGTTTTATTAGCTAATTCTATGAATATCATCTGCTAACAAATAATTTTCAAATAACTAATTTTAGCTAGATTTAAAGTTTGGGGTTTTTTTCTAGTACACAAGTAAGAACCTGACTTATTCTGTCAATAACACATCATCACTACCGCTGTGTATTCCCATGCTTCTGTAATCTTTTTTCAGATTTGTGTTTTAGGAAACTGTTTTACTTAGTCTGTGCCTGGTTAAATTACACATTCCATTTGCTCTGCCTTTTCCGACAGGAAGAATGCATTAGCTGCCTTCCGTTTCTCAAGAAGAGGAGGAAAAAAAGGGCGGGGGGGAGGGTGATATCTACTAGACAGCAAGAATGAATTTTTACTCTTTCATACTTGCACACTACAACTATTTTGTTACTAGCATCAAGGCAGTACCCTGTTTCAAGTGCCTTCCCATACAAATGCCAGAGGCCATATTAAAGTATGTGGAATCTTCAAAATTACAGAGGACAGATGGACCTTCTGGTCCTCCTCCCCTTACACCATGTTTATTAGTTTTGTTGTGGGCTAAGAATTCTTGTCAGCTATGGGAACAGAAAAACTCAATGAAAGGCTGTGGGTGAAGGGCAGGATTACGAGACCTGGAAAGAACAGCTTTAGAAACAGGCCCATTACAGCAGCAGCTTCCCAGGACCGAGCGAAGCAGAAAAACAACTATTTGCGTTTTTATTGTACGGGTTTTCCCTGAGTTATGTACTTCCCCCGGTCCATGCGCCCCCCCCCACTTGACCCATGCTTCCCCCCCCCCCCCCCCCCCCCCCCCCTCCCCCCCCCACCCCCCCCCCCCCCCCCCCCCCCCCCCCCCCCCTTCCCGCCGTGGATCATGTTGCACCTGCCTCTCCCCAAATCCCTGTCTCGTACTGGAACGTGTTCCTCCTGTATCTCCCCTTGGTCAGTGGGTTCTCAAGCCCCTCCCCCCCCCCCCCCCCCCCCCCCCCCCCCCCCCCCCCCCCCCCCCCCCCCCCCCCCCCCCCCCCCCCCCCCCCCCACCTCGACCCAATCACAGCCCTCCTTCTTGCCCTCCCCCCCAACCGATATGAACCGCGCAAGTTTAAGATTAAAGGTCCTTTCTGCCACGGAACACTCGGGGAAGCTTGGTCTCTCTTTCCTCCTGCCAAAGGGGGACAGCGCGGCCGAGCTCCACTCTGGGAAAACCAGCAGAGAGTCCGCAACCAGATCCGTTAATTGGTGCCCACCGTTGGATTGAGACCTACGTGGAATTTTCTACCGTGTAGAGGATTTTCAGAGATCTCCGGGCTCAAGTGACGAAGCAGTGACGGCTTCCCACTCAAACGGTATCCTGCAACTCAGCGCAGGATTTGGCCTATTGCTTAGCACAGCCCTGCATCAACATCAAAGGAGTAGGAGGAGCCCAGTCACCACTCCAAAGTGCCTGCACACTATTGATTGAAGGTCCTGAAGGTAAAACAGCCTCTACAAGGCCCTACGTCCTTAATATTCCAATGACTCTTTGGGGAAGGGATATTATAGGGCAATGGGGAATCCACCTAACCACGTCAAATTTAGTTTAGAGGCCACTGGTCAGCTGCAGTCTCCCGCCCTCACGAGGCTCTTGGATGAGCCACGCTGGGTATCCCAGTGGCCTCCACAGGGAGAGAAACTGCAGCAAGTAAACTTACTGGTCGATGAACAATTGGAAAAGGGACATTTAGTACCAATGGATAGTCCTTGGAACTTCCCTATCTTCACAATACAAAAATCAAATGGAAAATGGAGGTTACTACAGGACTTAAGGGAACTTAATAAAATCATAGAGCCCATGGGAGCTCTCCAGCCTGGACTCCATCACCCACAATGATACCCTCAGAATGGCCCATCATTATTATAGACATCAAAGACTGTTTCTTTAACATCGCTTTACACCCTAAAGACTCTCGTAGGTTTGTGTTCACAGTACCCTCCATCAACGCAGCAGAACCATCTCAATGCTATCACTGGACCATCCTGCCTCAAGGAATGAGAAATAGCCCCTCTGTGTGCCAGAGAGTCATCGCAGAGGTCTTGTCTCCAGTTCATCGGCAGGTTCCCCAGACCATCCTGTGCCACTACATAGACGACATCCTACTGGCTGCTGAATCCAAGGAGCAACTCGCACAATTTCATTTGACTGTGAAAGCTGCTCTGTTAAGACACGGCCTTGAGATTGCACTGGAAAAAGAACAAATGACAATGCCATGGAAGTACCTCGGATTTCACATCAATAACACCACAATTCAACCTCAGACTGTTGCCTTACCTTCCAACATCCACACCTTAAATGACTTATTATCCTTGCTAGGTTTAATTAATTGGGTTAGACCTCTCCTAGGTATAACAACAGACTCTCTAAAACCACTATTCCAACTTCTGAAAGGGGAGGTGGACCTGACATCCCCTTGACACCTGATACCAGAAGCCCGAGCAGTGTTACAGGACATAAATCAGAGACTGAGTGCATGTCAGACTAAGCAGAGAGTGTGTGGGTTACCGGTGGTATTAGTAATTTTTAAGGGTATCAAGCAGCCCTATGCTGTTCTAGGACAATTAGATCTAAAAAGCAAGAACTTTCTGTTATGGGAATGGGTTTTTCTAAGCTTTCAATTTTCTAAATCGATTACAACATATCCTGAAATGCTCTCCAAGGTGTGTCACAAAAGCAGACTGCGGCTGTGGGAACTTTTGGGAAGGGACCCAGAAGTCATATATGTTCCCCTGTCTACTGTCAGCTAACCCAGTTGTTGATTCACAGTGACGATTTCCAGTTACCTATTGCTGATTTTAAGGGTCAATTTTCAGTACACCTCCCACCTATCCCTTTTCTACAGCTACTAGCTCTCACCCAACCAGAGCTAACAAATAATTATTCACCTTTCCCACTAACGAATGCTAGAACTGTTTTTACAGATGGTTCGGGTAGGACGTCTAACACAGTAGTCACCTGGCAAAAGGCAGGGAAGTGGGTATTTGACACGCACAAGGTAAGAGGTTCCTCTCAGATAGCGGAGCTCTCTGCAGTAATACACGCATTTCAACTGTTTCTAGAGCCTCTGAATATTGTTTCTGATTCGGCCTATGTGGTTGGAGTGGTCCGACAAATTGAAAACTCTTACATAAAGGACCTCTCCCAATTACAATTAGCTCACATGTTCAAAACACTATGGTATGAAATTAGTCAGTGCAAACACAAATTCCACATAATCCACATCCACTCTCACACTTCCCTCCCAGGGCCCATCGCAGAAGGAAACCATGTCAGAGATGAAATAGCTGACACAGGACACCTGGCACAAACTGCAGTGGTCCCAAATAATTTTGAAAAAGCCAAACTGTCCCACAGCTTTTTTCATCAGAACATAAAATCCCTCACAAAAACATTCAACCTCACACTCTCTCAAGCTAGAACCATCATCTCTGCATGCCCAAATTGCCAAAGACTTACTCCCCTGCCATCGGAGGGAGTAAATCCTCGTGGAATTAATCCACTAAACATTTGGCAGTCAGACATAACACATTATGCACCATTTGGGAAATTAAAGTACATTCATGTGTCTATCGACACATGTTCTGGTGCTATTGCAGCAACAGCTCAATCAGGAGAAAAGGCTCGAGATGTCAAAAAACACTTCATGTCTGCCATATCAATTCTCAGCATCCCCAAAACCGTGAAAACCGACAATGGCCCAGCCTACACCTCTCAATCATTAAAAGAATTTTTTAATGTGTGGGGAATTACACGTCACAGGTATCCCCCATTCCCCGACTAGCCAAGCTATAGTAGAACGTGGCCACCAAACGCTAAAAACCATGTTAACCAAACAACAAAACACAACCATCGGGCTCACACCCCAAGAGAAGTTAAATAAAGCCTTGTACGTCATCAAATTCCTAAATAGGTTAGAACAGGACACCTTACCCATAGAAAGACACTTCAATTCACACCAGAATCAAGTCTGAACTAATGCCAGAGTTATTTATAAAGATGTAATAACAGGTGAATGGGTTGGCCCTGTTCCTCTTATCACCTGGGGAAGGGGGCATGCTTGTGTTTCCACAGGTTCCGGTCCGAAGCGAGTTCCTTCTCATCTAGTGAAATTGCACAACAGTGACCAAGTACCATCATGATCTACGTTATTCTTGCCATCTTAAGCCATCCTGTCATCTCATCGAACCAGTTTTCTCCTACAAATCCTCCACTGCCAGATTGGGTAGTTGTAGACCCTGGAAACATGTGGACTTCTCTAGCTAAGTCTTTAGACATTGATTCCTTGTGCCTTTCTGTCTCAGACCCTTCTAACCCATTAAAAACATGTTTAATTGCAGTTCCCTGGTCCCCTCAAAAATGGACAGGATTTAAAACTCAATATTCCTCTCTGTGCAATGATCCGGAAAAAATTGGAAACCAAATTGTGTCCTGTTTCCCACAACCCCCAAAAGCCGAGTCAGATCCGCAATACCTAGATGATTACCCTGAAGAGTTACAAATTTTGGGTACCCTCCCCTCATCCCACTGTTTCTATTTCAATATGAAAACAGAGGGAAGAGGTGAAAATCAGTTTAATGTAACATCCAATGGAGCATATTCCAACTTTGAATTCTAGTGCAAAGAAAAAATCGAACCCCCTCCACTACCCTTTGCCCTACCCAAGGGGGTGTTCCTCATCTGTGGACTTCGGGTGTGGAAATCAATCCCTAAAGGAGCGGTAGGGGGACCTTGCACATTAGGTCAGATATCACTCTATAATCTCACAAAGATAATTCATTCATTAGCCATTAGCTCCCCTAAAACAATCACAAAACGGGATATCACCTCCTACTCGAAGAAACTGGACTCACCTGCAGTCCAGCGATTTAAAAGAAGCAAAAAACCATCCACAAACACAGCCCCTCAACAACTCCCTCACCCCCTGGTTAAGCAACATCCCCTTTTCAAATCTCAGAATTTACAACAATTCACTGAAAATTGCGATTCTGACCTCCACTTTTGGTCCCACAGCAAGACTCTCTGGGGAGGCATAATAATTCCGGCCATTGGCACAACACATGCCTTAGATCTGCTCACGAAAATGGGATGTTGGTTAGCCAAGGAGGCAAATGCGACTAGTACGGCACTAGAGGACCTACTACTAGATTCCCAGCAGATTAAAAAAACCACCTTACAGAACAGAGCAGCCATTGATCTCCTACTGCTAGTTAATGGACATGGCTGCAATGAATTTGAGGGGCTATGCTGCTTAAATTTCTCCAACCACTCTCAATCTACTCATTCCCATATAAATGAACTCCATTCCCTCATACGACAAATCCTAAGGTCTGACAAGGTTAGTTGGGACGACATGTTTAGCTGGCTCTCCTTGAAGGGACTCTCACAGCCCCTGAAGAAATTTCTATTATTTCTACTCTTAGGCTTATTTGTACTAGCAATCTGTGTGTTCTGTGCATAGCCAAATGTTTACAGGGTCTCGTAATACACAATGTTGTGCAAGTTTATGTTTCATTAATAAATAAAAACGGAGGAATTGTGGGTGAAGGGCAGGATTATGAGACCTGGAAAGAACAGCTTTAGAAACAGGCCCATTACAGCGGCAGCTTCCCGGGACTGAGAGAAGCAGAAAAACAACTATTTGCGTTTTTACTGTACGGGTTTTCCCTGAGTTATGTACTTCCCCCGGTCCATGCTCCCCCCCCCCCCCCCCCCCCAACTTGGAACCATGCGGTCTCCCCTCCCCGATTGTGGATTCTTGTTGTGCCTGCCTCTCCCCAAATCCCTGTCTCGGTTACTGGAACGTGGTCCTCCTGTATCTCCCATTGGTCAGTGGGCTCTCGAGCCACTCCCCTCCCCCCGTACCTCGACCCAATCACAGCCCTCTTTCTTGCCCTCCACCCAACCCATATGAACCACGCAAAGTTAAGATTAAAGTTAAGATTCTGCCACGGAACACCCAGGGAAGCTTGGTCTCTCTTTCCTCCTGCCAAAGGGGGACAGCGCGGCCGAGCTCCACTCTGGGAAAACCAGCAGAAAGTCCACAACCAGATCCGTTAAAAGGCAATGATCTGCTATACAGAGTATGGAGAATTAAGAATAGTCATCTGAAGTAAGAGAGGGAAGCGAATGGCAAGTGAGACATGTATAACCACACAGTTCATAAAACACTCTGGGGGAAGGTAGATCATTCATGACCACAGTTAAATTAACAGTTGATGACTGCTTTATACATTTAGTTAAAAGGTATTTGTGTTAGGCCTAGAAAGAGTAAGAAAGTTTCCTACTACTTCATGTGAGAAGTAACAGCAGATAAATATATTAAAGTATTTACAGAACCCCACCACTGTAGCAGTTTCTGAATGCAAGGATCAAGGTGTAAGGGCAACGTCTTGTTTCCAACTGCTTGGCTGGGTCTCACTGTAGGACCAGAAACACATTTCCTGTACTTGTATGCTGTAAATCTGCACACTTCCTATCCTGCAATCAGAAACTGCTGGAACTTCCTCTGGAAGGAAAATCTAATCTTTATTTTGTATAACACAGCCATGGAGATGCTGGCTTTTTAGGTCTAAGTGAGGAGTGTTTGCCATCAGGCTCCCAAATGCCATCATACTCCCAGCTCTACCATCAACACCATCACATATCAATATTTGTAAAATGATTCCATAAACAAGGCTCTTTAAACAACCTGGCACCATGTCAAAACTACGTTTTCCTACTTAAATGGGTAAGCAGCTGATCACTTCAGCACTTGGCTGTCATGGTTTTTTTCCTGTATTACAGACTAGTTCCCCTGACGCTGACTTTATGTGTGACCAAAGCCTGCAGACAATGCAAACAGTATTCCTTATGTTAATATATGTCCTGCTCTATACATTAAGCAAGCTTATGAAGTTATTCTGCCACTTCAGATATAAAACTTGGGAAGTTAGCTTTCTCAAACTGTTACTTCTGGTAAGTGAATCATATTCTCTATCAGAGTGTCGTATTCTGTTTCATTACTCTTCACATATATTTTCTACTGTTTTCCTACATCCTGCAGCAGAGGAAGATAACCAAAAGGATTCACTCCAACTCAGATTCATAATTTGATACCACAACAGTCAGAAGAAAGGAGCACACTGACTCAGAAGGAACTTGGCTATCTTCGCTGGCATTTCTACAGAGGCTCAGAAAAAGCATATTTTCTCCTCTACTCCCAAAACATCACAAACCAATTTCTACAGCAAGTTACCAGACTGATGAACAGTTCAGCAAGTAATGCTGACTCACACTCTCTTTCTGACTCATGTTGTTTTCCTTCTAACTCAGTATTATATAGGCAATCTTATTTTTTCCCCTACGTCCACATACAGTTTTCCTAGAACTGACAGAAGCTTTACACATCTTATCACATCAGATAAGCATATTCTTTAATTTACCCCACAGCAGATTACATTAACACTACTTCAGTGATATTACTACAGATTTTACAGCTACTAGCATGGTTTAATCCCAGTCATCAACCAAGTCCCACACAGCTGCTCACTCACTTGCCCACCAGCAGGATCAGGGAGAGAATTGGAAGAGTAAAAGCTGAAAAACTCTTGGGTTGAAATAAAGACAGGGAAAGCAAAAGCCATACACACAAGGAAAGCAAAACAAGGAATTAATTCACTGCTTCCCATGGGCAGGCAGGTGTTCAGCCATCCCCAGGAGAGCAGGGCCCCATCACATGTAATGCTCACTTGGGAAAACAAACACCATCACTCCAAATGTGCTCCCTCTTCCTTCTTCTTCTCCCCATTTTATGTACTGCATGATGTCATATAGTACAGAATATCCCTCTGGTCAATTTGGGTCACCTGTCCCAGCTGTGTCTCCTCCCAACCTCCCATACCCTTCCAGCCCCCTGGCCAGTGTGGCAGTACAAAAAGAAAAGGCCTTGGCTCTGTGTAAGCTCTGCTCAGCAATAACAAAAACATCTATATTATCAACCCTGTGTTCAGCACAAATCCAAAGCACAGCCCCACACTAGCTACTGTGAAGAAAATTAACTCTATCCCAGCCAAAAGTAGCAAAATACTGCTAACTTCTAGAAAAAAAAAAAAAGGAATGGAAAATGTGCTATATTGGGTGTTATGCAAAGAGAATAATGTCACATTACATTATTTTGAGAACAATGTCACATTACTTTGACAGTGTTACTGTCAAAGTACTAAGGATACTTTTTCCCAACACACAGTGTTTTTTATCTTCCCACTTCTATTTCAAATATGTTTTATGAAAAAAAGAGTTAATGTTCAGAATTTTAGCAATAGTTTGTGTCTCTTGAGCTTGGTGCTCATGAAACTGTTCCAATACAGTGGAGATATACTGTCCATATGCAAGTTCCTCACAACTTCAGTAGGTTCTTCTAATCAACTACTCGGAGCTGCAATAGAAACACAGCAAAAGAATGCTGATTTGAAAACCTTGAGATGTACTGGAATACTCAGTATTAAGATGACAATCCTCAGGATGTACAGAGAGCAAAACCACTCATAATTTAAAATGTTAATGCAGATTATAGTTTAAGTCACTTTCCTCCCCCTCTCCCCCCCGATTAATTAAAAGGGAGCATAACTATTAGCCTAAACCAAGTGAAAAGTCACTGCATTAGTATTTAAAAGTTATTCAAACATGTAATGAGTTATACAATATCACCTATCTCTCCACACCAGGCCTCAGTATAAAAGCATTCCTGAAAAGCCATTATATAGCTAAAGTTACACATTAACTTGATGCATGCCACTGTCTTTGTATCCACAGAAGATTTAGTCAGCTTTTAACAATCATTCCAGGTGCAATGATTTACCAACTTTTCTCTTGAGAAAAGGGATTCAGGAGCTAGAAATGGGAGAATTGCAGAAAAAAATCACCTTTAATCCAACAACACTTTCACATTTTAAATCACATATTGAGTTCCATATCACTTTATTAACATCAGCTGGACTTAATGTTCCAGCAACACTCTGCACGAATAGGGATTGCAGAATTTAGTTTTTAAACTTCTAAAACCTTCTGTCAGCTCTTTACAACATAGGCAAAATAATCAGCCTTATCTCATGAACAAAATTTAATTGCCAGCAAATTGGTTTTGTTCAGCTACTGGTCTTATTAACCGAAGTCTCACCGGGCTACTGATATTGAAAATACTTGTAGTTATCAGTGGGAGCAAGGCAAAACTTCAAAGAATAAAGACCACAAAAACATGAAACTAGCAATAATAATTCAATTTTACGCTAATCGTA